GGGGGGGGGGGGGGGGGGGGGAGAGCAGCCTGGGCCGGCAGGGGAAGCTCCTGTGGGAGAAGCCACGGGTGCCAGGGCCAAATGCTCTCAGTTACTGGGTCCTTCTTTTGAGTCTGACCTCAGAAGGCCTCCGCCATCGATGGTTTCGCCCACAGTCTGAACTGTCTGGGTGGCATCCAGAGGGCTGCTGCTGCCAGGCCTCCCCTCAGAGGGGGAGCACGCGAAGAAGCCTCTGCTCTTGGGAGGGGGGCATGTGCTGGGGCTCTGGGGCTGCTGTTGGCGTGGCAAGGGAGCAAAGGAGACATCTGGAGGGTTCCCACCAGGCACCGTTGCCCTGTTGGTGCTCGTGAGAATCTGCTTGGAATCTGCTTGTAGCACCATCGTCGGAGCCAAAGGCTCTTCGGCCTGAACTCCCTGCCTCCCTGCCGGCACAGATGCCAAAAGGACAGAAGGGCTAACGTATAATTTAAGACAGTTTACAAGCCAATGTTTGCATCCCTCAAGCGTGTCCAGAAAGTGTCTTCCTGCTGATTTACTAGTAAACAATGCTGCTTGGTTCCTGCCGCATTTGTGGGTTTCTGCAACTTCACTTACGGGCTTCCATAAATGTTTATCTTTGGGAATAACATGGAGAGGGAGCAAGGAAGAAGAGGGCGGTATGGAGAGCTGGGGGTTTATGTCAGCCTCTGGCAGGCTAGGGGGGGCCTTGAGGAAGCTGGCTAAAGCTTGGGGGGGTCCAGGAGCCAAGGCAAAGGAAGGCGGTCAGTTGTCCATTGCAGCTGTCAGTGGTCGCCTCTCCAGCCTTTCTGCAGACGCAGCTCCGTCCCTCCCTCGGCTCCCCTCTGGACACACCTGGGGACACGGGGACCCTGGCACCCGAGCCAAGGAAGCTGCTGCCAGCATCTGAGGCTCTTCGTTCTCCTTTTATGGCCTGGCTGCTCTTTGCAGGAAACCCACAAGTCTAGCAGTGCTGAAGCGAACAAGCCGCTCTCTGGGGTGGGAGCAGAGGCTGCCAGGGAGGGGTCCCGGGGGAAGAGGAGCTGGCAGGGGTCTCCGTCCCACAGGCACAGTGCTCAGACTCTTATTGCAGGGGCCCCAGGAGGGAGGGGATGCTAAAGTAGGAACCCCCAAACTCCAACGGCTTCCAGCCTTCAGCGAAGGGAGACAGAAGGTCCGGAAATAAAACTAAAAACATGTTTCTTATAGTCACAGACCAGGGATGTGAGCAACGTGCTAAAATTGACAACCTTGGAAATTAAAAATGGAGCCCTCCGTCCTTTCTGAGGCTGGGATGGATTGGGGGAAGGCTGGTGCAGAAAAAGTGGGAATTCCCCTAAAAGTTGCATGTGAAAAACTGGAGCTGCCGAAGGGCCTCCCTCCCCCTGCACCAGCCGGTGCGTCTTTCCTGGTGGCAGCTCAGTTGGAAGTCTTGGGCTGCCTGGCGTTTGGCTGGCATTCGTCTCCCCCTCGGGTGCCCTGGAACTCCAGGGAGGCGGCTGAGGCTAGGATGCAGATAGAGACCCCAGATGCCTTCCTGCTCTGCCTTTGCCAGCTGCCTCCCCTTCTACCTTGACTCTGGCGTGGAGGTGGGGGGGGGTCTCTGGCTTTCCCCCTGTGGGTTTTGGAGCCCCTGAAGCTCTGCCTGAAATCCACCCCAGTGGGCCAAAGAGGACAGCTTGGGAGCCTCTGTCCGGATCTCATCCATAAACAGAACGGTTTGCGCCTCTCATCCCATTTCCTCAATTCTTTCCCTCTGGACACAAAAGCAGGAGATTGGCCTCCCCGCCAGCAGGGAGGGGCCGTGGGGGAAAGGGCCCCCGGCCTGGTCTCTCTGTGCCCAACGGGAAGCATCCGCCCTCTGCTTGGCACACGGAGCATCCCAGTTCTTCCCAGCACTCCCAGTTCCCAAAAGGAGCAGGCACTTGATGGCAGAAGACCAGAATGACTCTACCTGGTAGCCCATCTCCAGGGGTCTCTGGACCTCCCCCCAAAAGGGCTCCGGGGCTGGGATCTCACAACTGTTTTTTCTGTCCACAGATCGAGAGGATCAATCCATCCTTTGCACGTAAGTAGAGCCAGGAGAATTGGCCCGCTCCCTTGTCGGTTCCAGTTCCCTCCCAGCTCCATTTCTGCTGGCCTTTTAAGGACTTCTAAGCACGTCCTGGGCATCCGGCTGATGAGTTGGAGGGTGCCCAGCTGGCAGGGGGGATGGAGGGTGTGCAGGGGGGGGGAAGCCCAAGATAGCTTTAGATCTGCTTTAGATTCCATCATAGCTCTCCTGCTGTGGAGAACATCTGGGCACTTTCCAGGTGGCTTCCTCATCTCTCGCCTGGCCCAGCCAAGCCCAGCCCCTCCCAACCCCTTTCCCTAGATCAGTGTTTCTCAACCTTGGCCACTTGAAGATGTCTGGACTTCAACTCCCAGAATTCCCCAGCCAGCGAATGCTGGCTGGGGAATTC